CACGCTATTCGTAGAAACTCTAAGTTACATAGGAACTATTTAAATAATTGCATTTGCTTAAAATGATCATTAGCTAAGGGTGGTACCCTATATTGAGCTTTGCCTGTCTCTTCACGCCAATGTCTGATACACGTGACCGCATTACCACACATGCTGCCACAAATCCGTCTGAAATTCACTTCATGCTCCTCCTTCCCTCACTGAGAAAAAAGACCTAAGAGACGTACTCCTCCCACTTGAGGAAAGGGGACACCTCCGAATCAGAATCATCACGTACAACACGAAACCACGTAACCAGGTCATCTTTTTATAACACACACAAAGAATTATTGAAATTACATTTGTACAGCTTCTTGGCCAGCTGGGCATCAAACTACGTCAGTGGTTCATCCAAACTTTTAGCACCAAGCTACACTCAGAAACTAACTTTCCTCTCCAAGATACCACAAAAAAGACCATACACTTTACAGTTGCGTAGTCGCCTAAGTAATCATCAAGAACAAGCGAGTTTCATTCTAAAGAAGATATTTAATATTGTGAGCCAGTGTACTTTACTCATTTTCAAACAGTCCAACTCGTGCTTAAATTATAGGAGAAAGAAAAACTAAAAAAACTGTACTTAAATATGAGTCAATTTAAATTTCACTTCTTGACAAAACTGTAAAGCCTTGACTCACACTGTGAATTATATTCCTCGGTGGGATGGGCCTTCTTTTGTACAACCAGAGGGTTTGGACACGGGTGCACTTTTTGTTTATTAGCTTGGTCCTGCTGGCCTCTTACAAGTTACATCCTGCCATTTATCCACACAAGAGATGTTGGTTCATATGGTTTGCGATCAAAATGATCGTTTGTTGTTCTCTGTTCCCTTTGCCCGCACAGGAACCTGGGAAAAATAACTTTGTTTATTGTTACGATCCCAGCTCTTAGGCCGTAACATAACAAAGGGAAGAGGACAACGGCAATGTTCAGAAATCCCTCGTAGTGAGGCCATTTATTGCTATAATATCAGATTCAGAATCTTTTTATGGCCACGTAGTACACAGGAAGTCCCCAGACTTGGAAATTGATTCGGCTCAGTGACATGTCAGAGAGATATAATAAAAAATAAAAATAAAGAATAAAAACACTTCTAAGGAATACATTTAACTTTAGAATAGAGTTAACGTTACTAATTTCCATTATACAAGTTTGGCCAAAAAAACATGTGCACACGATGTAAGGTGACAGCAGTACACGTGAAGTAAAGTGAGTATGTGGCAGTTAAGTGACTTTATAAAGGGCGGGGGGACAGGTTATGAAGTGTTAAGAGTCCAACAGCTAGAGGGGACAGAAAACTGTTTGTGAGGGAGGTTATAGTTCTGATGGCGCAGTCTCTGCCTAAGGGGAGTGGTTGGAATAGTCCATGTGCAGGTGAGGAGGGGTCGGCTGTGATCCGACAGCCGGCCTCGAGATCGGGGACAGTACAGTCCTAGCAGCGATGAAGGCGGCGGACATTCACTTCCTCTGCCGAGCGCACAATGCGCTGTAGTCTCTGTTTGTCCCTGAATGTGGCTCCAGCGAACCACGGTGACGGAGGAGGTGAGGATGGACTCGATGATGGCCGTGTAGAACTGCACCAAACATCTGTGCAGGCAGCTCTGGCTTTCCTGAGCTGCTGCAGGAAGTACATCCTTGCTGGGCCTTCTTGATGAGGGAGCTGATGGTCAGCTCCCACTTGAGGGGGCTCCAGGGGATGGTGGTGCCAGGAAACGGAAGGGGAGAGTCCATCACGGAAGGTGGGGGCGGGGGGGACAGTGCTCTTCCTGAAGTCACAATCATCTCAACTGTCTTTGGGCGTTCCAGCTCCAGGTTGTTACCACTTCACCAGGACACCAGCCGGTCCCTCCTCCTGTAGGCGGATACTCATCGTTCCTTGGTGATGAGTCCAATGAGGGAGGTGTCACTCACGCGTAACTTGAGCAGCTTCACAGAGTCGAGGATGGAGGGTGCAGGGTGTGTACAGGGAAAGAGCATGGGAGAAAGAACACAGCCCTGTGGGCTTCCTGTATTTTTAATCGAGAGGTCCGAGACATTCTTCCCCAGACCGCACTCGCTGCTCCTGTTGTCAGGAACGTCAGTGATCCACCGGCAGGTGGAAACGGGCACGTTGTGCTGGGAGAGCTTGTCCTGGTCGCAGGGATGGCAGGTTCGTGTTGAAGGCAGAGCTAAGTCCACGAACAGGACCCTGGGTAGGTCCCCGGGGAGTTCCAAGTGCTGTGGATGTGGTGGAGGGCCAGGTGATGGCGTTGTCTAAGATCTGTTGGCTCTATAGGCGAACTGCTGGGTGTCAGGAGGGGGGAGGTGAGGGACGTGGGTTGGGAGAGGACCAGGCGTTCAAATGACTTCATGACGACAGACGTAAGTGATCCAGTCTGTAGTATTGAGTCCTGTGATACCTGGGCTTCTTCGGGACGGGGGCAATGATGGAGGATTTGAAGCAGGCCGGGACATGGAGGACTGCAGAGAGGAGTTGAAAATGTCGTGAACATCAGGAGTAGCTCACTCGCGCAGTGTCTCAGAGTGGCTGGGACACTTGGTCCGGGCAGGAGCTTTGCGGGGGTTGCAGCCTCAAGAAGAGTTGTTTAATATCTCTGTGCCGGGACTGTGCTTTCAGTTCGGTCCCTGAACTGATATTTAGCTGCTTTGTAGCCGCTGCGGTCCCCCTCCCTGAACGCCGATCAAGTAAAAGGCTCCAGCCACCTTACCAGGGCATCTTAGACGTCTATACGGACAGGGGACATAGGCTCTCCACCGTGCTGTCCCGGTGTGGTTAGCACGGTGGGTGGTGTGGCTCCTTCCTCTGCCAGGTTATTCCTGCATGCTGGACACGCCACCTGCTAAGTGATAGGCTAGAGGAAGAAGGGATGAACGCCCCTTACAGCATAGATTTGCATTCGATTTAACTGAACTTGAATCTGACATTGAAAATGTTCCAAAAGTTGACATGACACAACTGTCGTCCTCTTCGCGCTTCGGCATCATGATCAAATAGTTTTGTTCAGATGTTTTTTCAAGAACGTAACCTTATTAATTTTGCTTGTAAGTTGATGGTATATTGGACATAAAGCCATCACTTGCTCACCAGACTTGAAAGGAGTGGAGTCTAAGGACAACTGACCAAATGGCGACTATTTTTGGCTATGGTTTACACCAGTTACCCCCGGCATAAAGACGTTGCTAAACCGTTACCGTGAATCACGTATTTTCAGGCGGGTTCAGACTCTTTCAACTCAGCAGCCACTAGGCTTGCTTGGACAACCCTGGTACTTCAAGTGACCTCCTCGCTGCCAACATCATCCAAGGGCAGCCCTCTCCAGCCCTTACCTATCTCTATACAGATAAGTATAGAGATCGGTAACTCCGCTTGGGAGTGCTTCAACTAAGTATTTCACGACCTAATGAAAAACAATGAGAGTTCAAGGTTTGGTCCCCGTCCAAATGAACCACTTCCGGTCTCCCAAAAACCGAGATGAACTGTGCATTTCCTGCACACCGCGTTAGCTGTTACAGAAAGCCAGGATACACAAACAGGATAGCTCTGCTTTGACAACCGTCGTAATCTGTAATTGTCGTGACTTTTATTTAGATCCTTGTAAAGAGGTCCTTACATTCATGGGACTTTCCTGGTAATAAATGGTAAAAAAAATAATAATATATATATATATATATATATAATATATGTTTATTTGGGATGTCAAATTATCGCGTTAATGCACGTTTAATTACGTTTTCATTAACGCGTAAAAAATAATTAACGCAATTAACTGCCATGGACGTGTCAACTTTGTTGGTTGTACCCAAAGTAGAAGGTTGTGAGCAAGTCATACAGACCTTATAGCAGAGGCTCGGGGACCTGGTCCAGAAATCTAGGGACTCAAGAGCCAATGGAGAGTCAGGAACAAAATTCCAAATGTAGTGAACGGAAAACCATAGAGAGGGCGCCCACACAGACGGTTTAGGCTCAAATGTGAGTTTTAACTAATTTGGAATAAATGTCAAAAAATCTATGGCAGGGACATGTAGGAGCACTATAGGAAACATATTTAGGCAGTGTATAGTAAAAAAAAGTTGTTTTGTGGTGTTTAGTTACTCTTTCAAGTACATTTGTATTGTATAAATATGTGTCATTACATTTGAAAATTCTCATTTAACTTCAATTGGAGTGGATTTTGAAATAGAAAGTTAATAAAATGCCCGATTATCGAGAGTTAACTTCCACCATTAAATATTGCGATTATATAATAACAAATTAACGTTTGACAGCCCTAATATATATATATATATATTATATATTATTATATTTATAATATATATATATATTTATTTTTTCATTTTGGCCATACAATAGAGGGAGCCCCGCGTACCTGTGATTTACGCGTACACACTTTTGCGGAATCACTGACAAACTACGTCAATACAGGACAGCCGACTGACAGTACATACAGGGACCAAAAGTTAGGATGCTTTGGTCATGCAATGAGTTGTCGAGTCACTCTCAGCTGTGGTATGGGTCTGTTGACAGGCTCCCAGTCACCAGACTGTGGAGGCAATCCAGATGGTTTTTGATGAGTGGGGACCACAGAGTGAAGGTGAAAGGGCCACAAATGCTAAGCTCTCAGGGATTCTCCTTCAAGACGTTGGAAGACCTTTGTCACTCACTACCTCTTGAAGCTCATCAAGAGAATGCCAGAGTGTGCGAGCAGTAATCAGAGCAAAAGGTCTACTTTGAAGAACTTAGAACTTATAAGACATATTTTCAGTTGTTTCATACTTTTTTATTAAGTACATACTAATTCCACATGCGTTAATACATAGTGTAGTTGCCTTCAGTGTGAATCTACAATTTTCATAGTGAATCATGCACTATGAAATAAAAAACAAATCTTTGAATGAGAAGTGTGTCAAACTTTATTTTATTAAAGTTGTCAAACGGTTTCATTATTACTTCTCACCTTCAGATGGACGGAGGAGAAACGTATATGTTATTACACTTTAGATCTACCCACCATTATCAAGCTATACAAAGTCTTTAGCATATAGCTTAAACATACATGTTAAAAAAAAAACATAAAATGTTGTATTTTTATATTTTATTTTCATTTTTTTAGTGTGTGTATGTATGTAACATCTCTGTATTGCATTCTCTTCAAAAGATTTAATTTGTCCAACACATTGATTAAAACATTGTACTTAAATAAAGTGTTGTGCGACACCGTCCCTTATCCGAACCAAAAACAAACTACAGACAAACAATGCAGAATCAAGCTACAAAATCATTTTCTACATTTATTGAGAAGTAAAATTATAATTCTTTTTGTAAAGCTTATTTATATTCTTACCTTAAATAATTTTCCACTGGTTACCAGAACGGAGGTGCCAGTTTCCCAGTGCACTCCACATCAGCAGAAGCATCACTTACTACCCCTCACAGACAAGGCCCATCCCCCCAGCCACCTGTGCTCCCAAAGAGGGCACCAAGGAGAGCGCCAACCCACACCCTGCATCAAGCAGCAGACAGGCAACATGGACTTTATGACCGTCCGGACCAGGGCAGTCAGGGTGAGCACTGAGTCACAGAGCACCAGCCGGGTCATGTCCAAAGTGAAGCAGGACTGACAAATGAGGTGGTTTGACGATGGACTTGTAAACAATGAGGGGAATGACTCAAGGAGTTTCTGTTGGATTTTTTGTATTCTTAAAGTCTAACAAGATCCCAATAAAAGTGATCCTCAATAAATAATAAACTAAATATTCCAACTTTGAAACCACAAAAATTTATAACACCATAGATATTAGTTTCTCTCTTCAAAACTCTTTATTCTTGATTGTTTACACATGTAAGTATTTTTGGCCTCTTTCACAACTTGAAATTAGCTTTTCAGTGAACAAAGAGAGTACTCTCTAAGCCAACAGCTCTCAGTATGTAAAAGACGGCATTGTTTTCTATAGATGAGACAGCATGTTGTGTTCTGATTTGTCACAAAATGTTACTTAAAACAAGAATGATTGGACATACGAATAAAGGTTTTGGGGGCAAAAGAAGAAATAGAGAAAACACAATAAATATGTTGCCTTTATGTTTTGTGTGGCAGAATGCAGGGAAGCGCAGCATCAGCAGATCGGCGCTCCAGCCCCCAAACCCCAGCCTCCCCCTGTGGCACCGCGCTGCAGAGCTCTGTACCAAGTACATTGGTCAGGACACGATGTGATCAGCTTCGAAGTCAATGACGTCTTTGAATGCTCACGAGGTAAGTAGGTTTGACTACCATGGATTGAAAATCATTTTCATTTAAAGGGGTTCTCACCCCGCTCCTCGGAGCTTACGTCCACTCACTATTTCCTGTTCAAATCTGCCTCTAAAGGGCGTTGCCGGAGGACTAAAGGGGGCGTGAACGAGCCTGGGCGTTTACTTTGCTCTGGGCGGGGGCGGCTTGAGCGTAGGTCCATACTTCGGTGCCAGTGTTGCGCCAGATTCAAATATTCATAATGTAGTATACAGGTCGCAGCAGATGGCGCCGCACAGGACGGTTTTAGGCTGAAAGGTCTATGATCTATCTCTCTCTTGTCCCTCTCCCCTCCTGTCATTGCTTTGTGTCGTTTGTGGGTTTCGATGTTCTGTCGGTGTTATGTTGCTGTGGCACATTTGGTTTTGGGTTGGTTTGTTATTGAGGTGTTTCACTGTTTTGGTGTTTGTTTACCTTTGGGGAGGTCTTATATACGCGGATTGCTGCTTTTGTTCTTTTGTTTTGTTGTTGTTGTTGAGAGAGATCGTCCGACTTTCTGCCTAAAACCGGTCTGTGAGGGCATCTGCTGGCGACCTGTATTACTACATTTGATGTGAATTGCGCAACACTGGCACAGAAGTTGGGACCGCGTCAGCCGCCCCGCCCCAGAGCAATGGAAACGGCCCAGTATCGTTCACGCCCCCCTTTAGTCCTTCCAGGCTACGCCCATTTCGAGGAAAGATTTGAACCAGGAATTGTGAGTGACGTAAGCTACCGAGGAGCGGGGGTGGAGAACCACTTAATGAAAATGATTTCAATCATGGTAGTCAAACCTTACTTACCTTCTTTGAGCAGTTCTAAGACGGTCATTGGACTTCGAAGCTGATCTATCGGTTGTGTCTTCTGACCATTGTACTCGGGACGAGCTCAGCAGCGCGGTTATGCACAGGGGGGGCTGGGGTTTGGGGGGCTTGGAGGATGGCCTCTGTCTGATTCTGCGCTTCCTCTGCTTTTCTGCCACACAAAACATAAAGGCATCATATTTATTGTGTCTGTCTCTTATTTCTTCTTTTGCCCCAAAACCTTTATGAATTGTCCAATTCATTCTTGTTTAAGTAACATTTTGGTGACAAATCTAACCACATACATGCTGTCTTCATCTATAGAAAACAATGCTGTCTTTTACCATACTGAGAGCTGATTGGCTAGAGAGTACTCTCTTTTTTCACTGAAAAAGCTTCTATTAAAGGTGTGAATGAGGCCCAAAAATCCCTTACTGTGAAAACGATCAATGGAAGTAAAGAGTTTTGAGAGAGAGAAACAATAACTATGGATTATTAAATTTTTTGTGGTTAAAAGTTTGGATATTTTAGTTTTATTATTTATTAGGATCACTTTTATTTGGGATTCTTGTTAACTTTAGCATACAATAAATCCAACAGTAACTCCATGAGTCATTCCCACTCATTGTTACTAAGTCCATCGACATAACCCACATCATGTGTCAGTCTGCCTTCACTTTGGGACATGTCCGGCTGGTGCTCCTGGGACTCAGTGCTACCCTGACAATGGCCCTTGGTCCGGGGACGCACCCAGAAGACCATGTTGCTGTGCTGCTGCTGATGTGGGTGAGGTTGGGCGTTCTCACTTGGTGCCTGCTTTTGGGAGCACGGGCTGGGGGGATGGCCTTGTCTGTGAGGGGGTAGAGTAATGTGATGCTTTCGGGGCTGAGTGTGTGTGGGCACTGGGAAACTTGGCACTCGTTCTGGTATACCTGGGGTGGAAAAATTAATTTAGAAAGAATATTAAAGAGATCTAAAAAAAAAGAATTATAATTTACTTCTCTAATTAAATGTGAAAATGATTTGTAGTTGGATTGCCTGTTGTTGTCTTGTGTTGTGTTGTTCGGAATAGGGACGGGAGTCTCACAACCACTTTATGTAGAGTACAATGTTAATCAATGTGATGGACAAATTAACTTTTGAAGAGATTGCAATACAGAGATGGTACTACATACACACACTAAATAAATGAAAAAAAAATATAAAAAAATACAAACATTTTATGAAGGGGGGTTTTTTTACAAGTATGTTTTAGCTATCTGCTTAAAGACTTTGTATAGTAGCTGTGATAAATGGGGGATAGTTTAGAAGGGTAGAACATATTACGTTTCCTACTTTCCATCTGAAGGTGAGAAGTATTAATGAAAGCCATTTGACACAATGTATAAAAAAAGTCTTGGACACACCTTCTCATTCAAAGATTTTGTTTTTATTTTCATATTTTCATTATTTTCACTATGATAATTGTTTTGTAGATTCACACTGGAACGCATTCAAACACTATGAATTAATCATGTGGAATTATGTATGTACTTAAGAAAAAAGTTTGAAAAGAACTGAAAATATGTTTACTATTCTAGTTCTTCAAAGTAGGCCCTTTTGCTCTGATGACTGCTTCGCTCACTCTTGGCATTCTCTTGGATGAGCTCTCAAGTGTAGTGATGAAAAAGGTCTCTCAATGTCTGAAGGAGAGCCCTGAGAGGCTTAGCATTTGTTGGCACTTTCACTCTTCCATCTGGGTCCACTCATCACAAACCATTGGATTGCCTCCACAGTCTGGGAATGTGGCGGACTGGTCAACTAGCCTTAACGGGCTGAGAGTGAATCTACAACTATTGAATGACAAAGCATCCAAACTTTTTCTGGTCTGTACTGTATATGTCTGTCTGTCTGTCTGGTCTTGGACGTAGTTCAGTGATTCTCAAAGTGTGGTACGCGTAAATCACTTGTCACGCGGCGGCTCCCTCTAGTGGGTATGCCAAAATGATAAAATTTAAATATATATTTATATTATATATATATAAATATTATATATTATATATTAATCTTAGGGCTGTCAAACGATTATTTTTGTGTTGATTAATCGGCATTGTAATGGTGAGTTAACTCACGATTAATCGCATTTTTAACTTCTATTTCAAATCCACTCCATTGAAGTTAATGAGATTTTCACTGTAATGGACACAGTTTTTAGTCATACCCCAAATGTAATTAAAGATAACTAAACACCAAAATCAACTTTTTTTTACTTATACACTGGCCTAAATATGTTTCCTATAGTGCTCACCTAATGTCTCTGGCCATATATTTGACATTTTAATCCAAAATAGTTAAAATCTCACTTTTGAGCCTAAAACCGTCTGTGTGGCGCCTCTCTATGGTTTTCCGTGTCACTACAATTTGGGAATTTTGTTCCTGGACTCTCATTGGCTCTTGAGTTCCCTAGTTTTCTGTGACGCAGGGTCTTCCCGAGCCTCTGCTATAAGTCTGTTTTGACTTGTCACAACCTTCTACTTTTGGGCTACAACCAACAAGGAGTTGACACGTAAATGGCAGTTAATGCGTTAATTATTTTTATTTACGGCCGTTATGAAAACGGTTAGTAACGTGAAAATAACGCTGTTTAATTTGAAAGCCTAATATATAGAGTATATATATTTTTTATATTATATATTATGATTGTTTTACTTTATTTAACCAGGAATGTCCATTGAGATTAAGGACCTCTTTTTCAAGGGATCTAAATAAAAGTCAATACTATTACATATTACTTGACTGTTGTCCAATAGAAGGCTATCCTGTTGTGTATTTCTTTGGTTTCTGTTACAGCTAACTCGGTGGTGCAGGAATAGTACAGTTTCATCTCTGGTTTTGGGAGACCGGAAGTGGCTCAGTTATGGGGACGGGGGACAATCTGAGATCTCATTTGGTTTTCTTTGGGTCGTGATAAATTAGTTGAAGCACTCCAAGCGGAGTTACCGATCTCTATACTACTGCTATAGAGATAGGTATGGGCTGGGGAGAGGAGGTCTGCCTTGGTTGATGGATGGCTGCGAGGGGAGGTCACTGGAGTACCAGGGGTTCGTCCAAGCAAGTGTGGCTGCTGCGTTTAAAGAGTCTGAACCGCCTGAAAAATCGTTTGGATCTCAGGTAACGGGTTTAGGCAACGTCTTTATGCAGGGGTAAAATGGTGTTAACCAAAGCATAATTGAGCGCCTTTTGGCAGTTGTCTGAGCTCCACTCCTTTCAGCCTGGTGATCAAGTGATGGCCTTTATGTCCTATTTATAATCATCAACATTACACGCAAAATATTACGGTTACGGTTCTTGAAAAACATCTGAACAAACTATTTGATTTGATGCCGAAGCGCAGGAAGAGGACACAGAGGTTGGTGGTCATGTCAACTATTGGAACATTTTCAATGTCAGTTTCAGTTCAGTTAAATAGTATGCCATTTTGCGCAATCATTGCGGCTAGGGCGTTTTCCTTCTTCTTGCTTGCCTATCACTTAGCGGTGTTGGCGTGTCCAGCATGCCGAATAACACGGGCAGAGGGTAAGGATCCTCACCACCACCGTGCTAAGCCACACCGGACAGCACATGGTAGAGAGCCTTTGGTCCCTGGGAGCGTATTAGACGGCTAAGGTTGCCCTGTTAAGGTGGATGGATGCCAGTCTTGTCGGCTTTCAGGGAAGGGGGACCGAGCGGCTACAAAGCAGTCATATCAGTTCAGGGACGTAACTGAAAGCAGCCAAGTCCGGCACTGAGTTACTTAACAACGCTTCTGAAGGATGACCCCCGCAAAGCTCCTGGCCCGGACCAAGTGTATCAGCCACTCTGAGACACTGCGCGAGTGAGCTAACTCCTGTGTTCACTGACATTTTCAACTCTCTTGCCCAGTCCTGCCAGTCCCGGACTGTCTTCAAATCCTCCATCATTGCCCAGCCCGAAGAAGCCAAGGATCACAGGGACTCAATGACTCACAGACCTGTAGCACTTACGCTGTCGTTCATGAAGTTCAATTTGAACGCCTGGTCCTCTCCATCTCAAGTCCCTCACCTTCCCCCGCCTGGACCCCTGCAGTTCGCCTAACGAGCCAACCAGGATTGTAGACAACGCCATCAACCTGGCCTCCACCACATC